TATTAAAATATATATAAATAAATCAACAGTACATTAGCAGCATAGAGTAAGGGGCAACAAAATATTAAATTGCTTCATCCCACAATTCTCCAACAAAATGGCAAAAGAAGCCGCAAAACACATTCTCTACTTTCCAACTTGGAGGCCCTAAGGGAATGAATGGCTCAGTTATTTCTCTGATAAAAATCTTACAATAAGCTGATTACATTCCTGTCCAAGTCAACAAAATCACGTTTCTACTTTATGATAGGTTGGTTGGACTTCACAAAAAGGGAAGTAATTCTATTGGGAAATCAAGCATGAAAGTCTGTATGCTGTGTGTCTGACTGCTTTTGAAGGTGTGCTGCATGCAGAAGGAATATTTTCTGAAATTTATTGCAGCACGATATATAGTTGCTGCAGTTGTGTTCCAAGTGCCATTGTAAAGAACTGAGAGTGGAAACCCAAAAGAGGTCAAATGTCAGCCTATGTTTTTAGTGATGCATCTTGCAGCTCTCCCTTCAGTGTTAAAGAGCTGCGTCTTGTGACCTGGAGCTCTAAGACTGACATTTTTAGAATTCATATCACACCTGAATACATTGAAAGATACTTTCACTGGGGCATAACTCTGTCTGTTAGAATCTCTACACTCCTGATTGCACTTCCATTAAATAATTTACAAGATCTGCAGCATTTACCATGTTATGCAGACAGTGTTTTGGAGGTCTTACAGCGAGTCACTATGGGCACTTGGGCTAGGGTTGAATCTTATAATCTACATTATGCATTATTTAAGTCCTGACATGGTACTACAAAACATTTTCTGAAATGCAGAATGAATAATAAAACAAATTTAGTGATTATTCTGGGGAACCGATAGCTATATGTTAATGTAATACACTCTGTCCCATTCACTACAATGAAAATCCAGATTTCAGGGTGAGAGATTTCCTTGACATCTATTGGAATATAAGGTCCTCAGCTCTCTGGAAGAATTTTGAAGTTATGCTTGTTCTGAACACTGAGAAATGTGTATAAAAAATTTATCTGAAAATAATTCGTCTTCTCAAGACAAAGTGAGTGCAAAAAGCCAGTTCTTATTAGACCATGCTTTAGGACAATTAGTGAGTTGAATGCAGTGATACTACTAATTTTTCATATGGATAAGACAACATAAAGGATGAACAAAGGAGATCTAATGAATGAATCTCTAAGTGTATACACCTACTAAAGCTTTGATTCATAGTGTAAAAACCCAGAGACTCAAGGGCTGGAAAAGACTAACGATTTAAATTCTAAGTCTACTGAAGTGAAGACCTTGAGCTGTGTGCTTGCCTTTAAATTAATATAAGGAATCATATTTCATTACTTAAAGTATTGAGGAAAGACAAAAAGTAGCTATGGACAAGTGGATTAGTTCAACATGTGTATGAAAATATCTAGACTCATATTCAGCTTCCAGAGAGCAAAGGAAATGTTGCTACTCCCAGACATCCTCTCAGGTTGTGAGTGAACTCCATAATATGACACATAAATTTAGATATCTTCCTGTGTGCTAGGTATCAATGTTCCCATTATTGGTAACGGACATCTAGCCAATTCATTCACTGGAAACTTGTGTATGATTCAACTGTAGAGCCAACAGAGCCTCTCTTTCTCAAAACGTCATCCTTTCCAAGGAATGGTTTGAGCTCCTTGTTCCTCACAGTACAACATTATTTTTAGCTCTGTTTATCACATTTCCATTCTTTCAGTGCCATGCATGTTTGTGACATCTTTTCTTTCAAGGTCTCTGATACCATCAGGTCATACAACAGGATGAAGAATGGATCCTAGTGGGCTCACTAGAGGTCCATCTTCTTTTTTAGATGCTAATGTGTGAGATTTGGATATGTTATTCATGCTGATACGGTAATTAACCCCTCTTGCAGTGAGATGTACTGTTGGTGGATTCACTTATTTCATGCTTGTGTGTCAGGCAGCATTATGCTTTGCTGGCCAGTCTCATACTGCAAGTGTCTTATTGAAGTCCCTTCATTCTTTCTGATATCTGATCCCTACCTGATCTTTCTCTTCCTCTTCCAGTGACGCTTCCAAGGACAGTATCACTCCACATAAGGGGCAGGGGAAGACAGGTGGGTGCTGAAAGATGCATGAAGACGAAGATGAAGTTCCCCGGACAGACTATGGGGTGGAGAGCTTGGTGAACATGGAGGAGGGAATGCTTATTGTTCATCAGCTCTTCTAAGGTCAACTCACTAAAGAAAGGTGGAATAACCCCATGTTGCCAGTCCTGTTTTGAGCTGCCTTAAGAACAAGCAAAGACACTTTGCCTTTTTCTACCCTCAAAGGAATCTGGCAAAAAAAGCACACACAACCCAACCTCCGACCCCCACCGACCCCCCCGAGCACACATGCAACCGTCAAGTCTCAACACAAATCAATGTACCTCTGTCTATAACAAGACTATTAGTTTTGCTTTGTTATCAGCTGTTCACAAGACCTCATGGTGCCTAAGCAGTCAGGATGATGATAGATTGTAAGTAGGCTTCTTCTGAGGCCAAGGGAGTAGCTCAAATGTTGTTGAAGGGTTTTCCTTCAAAAGTTACATCAGTGTGCTCTTTGACTTGCAGGAAAGACATGGCAGCTTTGGTAGTCAAACCAGTTTTTCAAGGTAAAGGCTGAAAGTAGGAAATGACTGCAACACAGCAATATGGAGGAAATTGTTTGCTTGCAGAAATTATTAGGATCATTTGTTTCAATAGTGTCCAACTGATATGAGCAACTCACATTTGGATCCTGAGGAAGAAGCCCCACTTGAAGTGGATCGTGATGCTCCTTTCATGGCGAAAACCCCTTTGCCTCTGCGAGTTGTTGTCACAGCCACACGAGGACGCTTCAGTGGAATCACTGCACGGGGTGGTGGTGGGACACGGCCATGGTAATCAAACAACCTAGAAAAGATTAAGTCAGCTGGACTCCATAAAACCTTCTGTGATTTCATGTCATGGAAGCCCTGTCAACTAAATTTTCAAGTTGTCTTTAAGAAAATTATAATTTGAAACTGTAATCACTTTAAATCAAAGTAAATAAGATTTCAAGGAAAAATGAACATTAAGTGCTATATTCAGATTTCAGTCACAGACCAGTGCATAGCTCAGATGTTTTGTGTAATTTAAGCAAGGGATGAGTTATTGGACTCTGTTATTTGTGGTATGGAAAATCCATAACCTGCTTTCCACAGGTCCACATCATTTTATTGCACGCAACTACAGCAGTACATTTTGTTGTGGTGACATTTCAGTTCCTTTATTACATGCATGGCTTAAATTCTAGTTTTCTATCTGCTGTCCTTAAAGATAGAAAAAGAAATGATCTTTTCTGAAGCCAACCATCACCATAAAGAAATATCCTGCAGTTTGTAAAACAGTAAAAGAATCTTCATAGTGAGGGACCTGTATATCCTTCTGAATGCATAGAAAAGAGGCCCCAAAATATGTTCTCTTTATAGAAAAACGAATTGGTGTAGAATCACTAAATTACCCAAGCATGCTTAATATAAATAAGTCTTGTTCAGACCAAAACCACTGTAGATATTCAGTGAATTACCACTACAGTCAGTAAAAGACACTCTACAACCAAAATGAACTCGTGTTCCCAAACAGACTACCCCAATCCTAAAAACGCAGTAATCAATAGCAGCTAACTAACCTACGTAGAAGAAAATAAAGGCAGTAGAAAAATTAATGAAAGCTACAGATATATTTAGAACATAAAAGTTATGGGCTCTGAATACGACAGATCAGAATAAGCAAGTTCAGAAAATAAAGATTACCAGTTCACAGATTGAAGCAGAAGGATAAACAACATTCTCACAAAATATTCTTGATTTTCTTTCAAGGGATACTTGCAACTAGTAATTATGGAAATTTGTAACTGCATGTTTAATTTTCACAATTCTGGCTACTGTCACCCAGCTGGGCAGACAGATACACATTTGAAAACAGACATAGAAGAAACAGTAATTCACTCACCACAGTGTCTAACAGCATGCTGAACAAGAAGCAGAATCAAACTTAGGTCTTTTAGCCCATTTTCTGACAAGTAAACACCTAATCCTTAAATCCCAGGATCCTTACTGTTTTCTGTACCATAATCCTACAACCAGTATAACCATCTCCCTCCTTTTCCATAGCTGCCTACAGAATGTGTCACAGAGATCCTGTCACGCCCACTGAACTTGATCTCCGTGACCTTGGATGTTCTTACTGAATAACTAGTTTCTAGCCATTGTGAGCATAACTAAACAATTGTGTATGAAGATGAACACTAAAATATTTTTGGGATTTTAACAGAAATATTATTGTTTGTTGTCACTCATCATTTATCTCCTTGGATGATCTGCAGTTTGGTCATAATCTCCCATTTGACATTACTGGAAAAAAATGTTTCAGAATAACAGCAAACTATCATGCAAAAGATCGCTATACAATTATTCCTCCAAAGGTGATTTTTTTTCTAGCTTCCAATAGCTTGTGTTTAGATAATGTAGTGAAATGCAAAGCTATGCTTCCTTTTTTGAGATATGTGAAAGGACTGTTATCTACTGTTGCTATTCTTACTCTTATTTTTGAAATTATGCAAAGCTTTTGGGCTTGGTATTTTGTTGCTGAAAGTTCTATGTATTTCAGTGATATGCTTTCTTTAAAAAAAATGCTTCCTTTTATCAGCTTTGAAGTACCCTGCCTACTTTCCTTGTGCTTGTAATATGAGAAATGATAAATAGAAATGCTCAGTTCTAAAGCAATTCTTTGTCCCAGTAATCACTAATGTGCATATAACAGTACCTTTTCTTTCACTCACCCTTCTAAATTGTACAGCCCTGACCTTGTCAATCTGTCTTCACACAGATTTTATTTTACAGCGCTAACCATTCTTGCCACCCTTTTCTCACTCCACCACTGCTTCAGTCAAGATAGGATAGATATATTCTCCCTTCAGGGAGATTTGAAAATTAATGAATATTAGAAAACAAGACTTCTGGTTTGGGATGAAACACAGAAATTCAGAAAGTTCAGAAATTCAAAGACTCATGACTATATTTCTTAATTTATGTTTCATATAAGGATGTTGATAGTACATCAAACTCTCCATGGGATTTTATTTTTCGTGCCTACCATAGAGAGCTTTTCATCTTCCACTTCCATTAACTTGGATCTAACAGAGACCCTTAACCTCCTAATGTTTTTATTGTCAAGGGATCAGTGTGTCCAGCCTTGTGAGACCAACCTCATATTTGGCTTTTCTACCAGAAAAGTTCTGCTGTCTTAATCCTGAAAGATTTCTAAACCAGAAAATTGTACTATTGAATAGATTTATGGACACATTTCATTGTCAGCAGTTTTCCATAATAAGACAATCAGCAAGACAGACATTAAGTTCTACTGAAACAACCTTTAATGTCCCATAAGTATTTATTTTGTTGTGGAAAAGTGACCAGTTGTCCATTTGTGCTACCCATAATATATAGAATTAGGGAAAAAACTGAAGACACATAGCTAATATTCAGGTGGCATAGATCAGAAACAGTGCTCTGAAAACATACAAGTCCACCATGAAATCTGGAGCACTAACCTTGGGGAAAGTAAACATAAACCTGTGGAAGTTATCTTTTTACAGGATATGAGCTGCTCCTACTGTCAAGCCTGGACTGAGCAGGATTAAACTGCACTGAGGGCTTTTACTCCATATGTTTATAGCTCACTGGTTTTACCTCTGTCCAAAGTGAGCATGGTCATTTACATGAAAAAACAAAACTAGTGGCTCAAAGTGAATCAACCCCAGGGAAAAAAAAAAGCCAAAAGCCATTGTTTCTACATCGTTCCTACAGTGTGCCTAAGCAGAAAGATGCAGAGCACATGATAACTTCAGGGTGTAAACTGCTCACCTGCTGTTGTCTGCTGTTTTGTGTAAAAGAAATCTCGGATTAGAAAAGATTGGGGGAGCAATGCTTTGCTCCCTTCTGACTCACTTGGCCTATGCTAAACCAGGCTGCTGTAATGCAGAGACACAACACTGCTGGATCACGTGTCAGTTTTCCGTGGTCCTCCATGTTAACCCTGTGTTGTGATTCTGCTAAACTTGAATGAATAAATTCTCACAGTGCTGGGTGAGGCTGTGCTTACGTACTCAAGACACAAGTCTCCAGTTGCTCAGGTATCCACACTTCTTTTCCTCCTATAGAAACACACATGCCATTCAATTTATGGTTTTTCTTTCTTCAAGGTCCTTCTAGACTTCTAAACATTCTTGGAAGACACACTTTTCAGGAGACTTTCTGTATCTTTTCATACACGTGGATGAAAAGACAAAGACATAGGTGTCATACTGAAGAATTTTATAGCTGCTATATGTTCCAGTGAAAGTAAACCTGGAAGAACTCTGTAGGAAGAAACACTGAGCAATTAAACCACCATTAAACTGTTCAGCACAGAAAATGCCCCAAAAGCTCTTAGAGAAGGATAAGACCAAAAGAGCTCTTTAATGAACATACATTTGGTGGAGGTGATATATTCAAATAGTCATCTTCTGATACACACTAGAAATAATGAAATGAATAATACGTAAAGTCACAACAGACCTGTCTAACCAAATGATGTGATTACTTTGCAAACAAATAGTAGAAAAGGTGTGGGATGTATAAGAATATAACCACACATACCGATTGTAGAAATCATCTCTGTAGTAATCATAATCAAAGACATAACCACTGTGAAAAACCACAGAAAAAAAAGAATTAACTGGTTTATAGAAAAATATACATTGCTTAAAACATTTTGTGGTAATAATGGCTTACTCTCACATTCCAAGCCCTTGTTCAAAGTCCTTCCATTTCTTTTCCTCAACCGTACACGGTACATTATGTTTGTCAATGCTGTTGTCGTCTATCGCTGTAGTATATTTGGAAATGTGAAGTATGGGGCAAGTGGAACAGTGTAAACAGTTGACAGCACATATAGAAAGGATTTAACACAGTATGAGAGCTCTGCAATTAGAGGATCATTATAGTGTAATTCTCTGAGAGATCAAATGAAGTGAGCACTCTAATACTGACGCCCTCTGCTTTACTGGGTTAACATAGCATCATCAGTGGACTAGGAAGACTGTTAAGTACATAAAAATTGGTAAATGAGTGAGTAGGTGAAGAGAGATAAGACAATGAATTTGATTTGTGAGAACCATGTAAAGTATTGGACTGTTGGTCCTTGAGTTCACCAAATCTTCTTTCATCATAAAGAGAAAAGGAAAAAAAGTTAGGAAAATTAATGATGCAAGCAATAATGTTACAGAAATGCCTTTACTCTCAGGTTCAGAAGGGAATATACATACCAATCTGGGAAAAGAAAGGCACCATTAAGGGAAACAAATATGTTGGAAATTGCAAGGGTTCAGGGGAAAACTATTCCTGAGCTGTCAATTGTAAAGTCAATCCTAGATTGATCTTTGTAGTTTTGCATTCTATTAGCAACTTTCTACCTTTATGGTGGAGAAATAGCAGTGAAGTCTGCCTGTCTCACACATCTGAAAAAACTGAACCAAAGAGCTAATAAATGATGTGCGTGGAAAAGTCACAAGGGATTTGTACTCTGCCTGATGAAGGACTAGTAACACAAAACCTAATTTTTCACTTGCCCTAGAAGGACAATTATGAATAGTAAAGGATGAGAGGCATGAAGAAAGCATCACAAAAAAGGAGATTTAGATAAGCAAAAAGGTAGAAAGGAGAAAGTCAAAAAGGACAAAGTACAGAAGAAAATGGTGGTGGAAAACAAAGGGAGATGAATGATGGTAGCTACATATTAATGAAGTTTATTTTAATGGGGAAAGGACTTCTGGATATTTTCTGCTGTTGAACATTGAGCAAAATGTCTTCAATTTTTCTTTTTCAATACATAATCTGAAGAACGTTTCAAGAATTCTGGAGTTCTTTGGGTTTGTTTTTCCTCATCACATAATGGCTCTTTCCCCTTTTCTTCCCTTTGCTAAGTCTCAGAGATTGACCACTAAAAAGGGGGGAAAAATAGAGTTGGCAAGCTTAAATTACCTCAGTAATTATTTCATCCCAATGTTTTCGTTATGAGGGTTTGCAAATTCCCTTGTCTGCAGTTGGCAAAAACATCTATCAAAGAAGCAGAATGTCGGGGAACAATTTCTACCTCTGCCACATGTGCCTTGGATGCAAGGGCCGAAATCTCTAGTGATAGGGTAAATGGTACCGTCTGTCCACACAATACTGGACCAGCAGTGAAGATCATAAGACTCACCAGGTCAGAAGGGCAACTGTAGTTCTGCTGGTAATTTATTTGAGAAAAGGAAGCCCTAGATGCATTTTATGTGAAACACTCATTAAATAAAACAGACCAGGCAGACCACAACCCAGCAGCAGGTAAGCTGTGTATGGCAGAGGAAGCAAAATAACATTATGTAATAATAGTTAGACCATGTGTAGCGATCATATTTCCGTATGTTTGTGGTTTGATTGTGGTTTTATGTAGCTGAATGATTAATAGCTTCAGTAAGCCCATACTTAATATTCAATTTGTGTTTTTAAGAAGAACATAGCAGACAACTTGAAGACAAAAGATTAAATTTAAAAGGCCTGTCACAGGAAATCTTTCACCTGGAATGACATTAAGGTTATTTGCATAAATACCAGATAAATTCAGTTTTTCAGGGTTGAAGATCATGAAGCTGATGAAGAATAATTCACTAGCTAGAGTAAGGCTGAAGGACAGCTATATTTTTCCGTGACAACTCAACTCTGGCCCATAGGGCACAGTAAGGACTGCTGGCCCTTCACCAGGCTTTCCGAGCATGGAACCCACCTTTCATATACAAATGCCATGACAGAGATGGTTCAAAGCCATTGCTGGGACTGGTGGCACTGATGAGACACAGGAGGGAGAGAGGTCTCAGGTAGAGATCTGAGTGTGCTAGGGGAAAATGTCAGTAGGCCTGAGAGAAGGTTGAGTGGTTGGGAAAGGCTCATGGGTTCCTTAGATGAGTGTAGTCACAGGCAGTGGAGATTTTGGGTAGGGAAAATGCAGTTAAGGGTTTCTGGTGTGGCAACTAATTGTTTCTCTCCTTCCCTACCTTCTGCTTTCACTCTGTTGCTGTACCACTGAGAAAGTCCTGTCACACAGCATTCTTCTTGTAAGATATTTTTATATTGTTAAAAAGTGTGGCTTATCATTTTTTTTTTTTTATTCAGTGTAACATCTGGGATAATACTTCTTTTTTGAGAGAAGCAGTTTTGCACATCAGTCAGCCACTAAAAATTTCATTATTTTTCTCTTTTCCCTGTTCAGGTAACTTCTGTCTTGAAACTGAACTCAGTTCTTCACGTTCCTTCAGCTTTGTAAATGGCAGTTTCATCCCACATGGTCTAATGCTTATCTGTGGGACCAGAGCAGGAAAAAGCAGAAGCACATTTTGGAGTCTCATTATCACATGGCAGTGTAATCTATGAATTCTTGTAAATTTTTATGGCTTGCTTATATTACCTTTTAAAAATGTTTCATTGCTTCAGAAGCATCTGATACAGTTATTATGTTTTCAGTTTTCACCCAGAGAAATCCCAGAGGTTTTCTTATAGTTTTTTATAGCTGAAGATATCTAAACATCTCTGCTACAGATGTTGCCTCTAACCTTAAAGTTAAGGTGCTTTGCATTTTTGCATTGTTTAGGTCAGTAGTATCCACTGCTACCAAGAGAAGAGGTAACCGCAGGTATTCTGCATGTTGCATGACAATCAGTCTCTGAAACGGGCATACACAGGGATTTAGCTGCAGCAAACATTATGCAGTTTGCCTTTCTTATCCATCTCTCTGCCAAAAGGTTACTGACCCTGTGGCTGGGATATGAGATGCAACCATATAGTGGCTTCTCACAGTGCAACCTGCTAGCACAACTGCCAAGCTAACAGGTGTTGATTTGCTTACATTTCTAGTCTGAATTTATTGTAAATGAAATTGTCGCAATTCAAGGGCATCCCTGTTAATTAAGTCCCGTGTCCCATGATATGGGTGCTTGATATTGCAGCCTCCTCTAGGTGACCCTGCTTCGACAGGGGGGTTGGACTAGATGACCCACAGAGGTCCCTTCCAACCCCTACCATTCTGTGATTCTGTGCTTCTGTGCTGGGGACTCCAGCGGGACGTGGGGAGGGAATCTCTGCTTTCCCCAGAGACCATTTGGGATCTCTCTGCACTGGCAAAAGCCATTTCTCTGTGAAAGTACCATTCATATGGAGTGGGAAAGAGCCAGTCCTGCACATATGAGGACTTCTTACCTGGGACCACTGGCGCAGATGTGGCAACAGCTACTTGATCCTCAGGGTAGGAATAACACCCAGAAGTGGGTGTTCATCTTGAGTGTGCTCACCAGGCATGTGAAGGACAACCAGGGGATCAGGCGCAGCCAGCGTGGGTTCATGAAAGGCAGGTCTTGCTTGACCAACCTGATCTCCTTCTATGACCAAGCGAGATGCCTAGTGGATGAGGAAAAGGCTGTGGATGTTGCCTAACTGGACTTTTGTAAGCCCTTGGACACTGTTCCCCACATCATCCTCCCAGAGAAACTGGCTGCCCATGGTTTGGATGGGTGTACTCTTCGCTAGATCAAAACCTGGCTGAAATGCTGAGCCCAGAGAGTTAAATGGAGTTTACTCCAGAATGGAGTTAAATCCAACCGGTGGCCAGTCCACCAGTGCTGTTGCCAGGGGCTCAGTTTTGGGTCCAGCCTTGTTTAACATTTTTATCAATGATCTGGATGAGGGGATTGAGTGCTCCCTCAGTAAGATTGCAGGTGATACCAAGTTGGGTGGGAGTGTTGATCTGCTTCAGAGTAAGAAGGCTCTGCAGAGGGATCTGGACAGACTGGATCGATGGGACAAGGCCAACTGCATGAGGTTCAACAAGGCCAAGTGCTGGATCCTGCACTTGGGTCACAACAACCCCATGCAACACTACAGGCTTGGGGAAGAGTGGCTGGAAAGCTGCC